GTGACTCTGAAGAGAGGATTTAGGACCCACACAACAGAACAAGTGTCTCTTCTCATCTCTGGGGAGAGGTTTAGACTCTCTGATTTCCAGGAAGAAGGCAGAGAAGAAGGATGGAGTCAAGATGTGGGGCCACCAATAGTCACTCTAGGTAAACTCACTTCCCTTGGCGAGAGATGCTGGTACCTGCTCATCGCATTTTATGTGAATGGGCATTTATTTCTAAATGTACATGTGCACCATGTGTGTGCAGTGCCTGAGGAGGCCACAAGAGGGAGACAGATTCCCCGGGAGATGGATTAAGACAGTTGTGAGCCACCCTGTGGATTCAAATCCCTGTCCTCTGGAAGAGCTACCAGTGCTTTTAACCACGGAGTCGCCTCTCCAACCCCCTTCCTTTCTTTTTAACATTAATATTTATTTAAAATGTAAAGATAAATGGGAAACCAATATTATGGTATTGCAGAGATCTGTTAAGCACCACTCATGTTAACTCTAGGTGGGATATGGGGTCGCTGGTGTAACTCCCCTCTATGTGTCTGTTTACAGGGCTAAAGTCCCTCGGGCTTACGACTTTAAGGGTGCGCAGCATTAAAATGGTCTTAATGTCCAGGACGCTCCCCTCTGCAGACATCAGTGGGTTCTATAGAACCGAGAGATGCTGCAAACCCCAACAGCTAGCACCAGGAACAGAAAACCCAGCCTGAAATCTGCTTGTAAGATGTCTGATTTTTTTATAGTCAGCCTGTTAGTTCAAGGTTATTGCTGGTTTTTATGCAGCAATTCCACAGATGCTGGGTGCACTCCCAGTGGCATCCCCCAGTGGTAGTACCTTGGGATGTGCTCAGGAAAGCAGCCTCAGTGTTTTGAGGGCCCTCCAGATCCTTACGACTTTGTCCGTCTTCCCTGTGGCTTGTGCACTCCCGTTTTACCTCCGCCAGCCTCTTCCCCGTGTCTCTGTTTGGCCCCTTTGGGAGTGCTGCTCAGAGAGCAAACAGTGTGTGGTCTTTGGCTTTCCCCCTGCAGTGTAGTATTGCTGTGCCCTATCTGCATGCTTGTGCATCAGTAGTTGGCTCCCTGTTTTGTTTTTTGAAGCAGCTTCCATTGCACTCTCGCGCCACACTGTGTGTCACCGTTAGCCCTGTGACAGACACCTGGGTCCTCTCCAGTCTTGAGAATTACAGACAGAGTTGCTGGAAACAGGTTTCTTTACAAATGCTGTCTCTAGAGTAACTGTTCAGGGGAAACAATTGCCAAGTTTAATTTTTCTTTTCAGTGCTAGGGATTGCACCCGCCACTTTTGCAGGCCAGGCAGAGGACCTGCCGCTGTGTGCACCTGCCAACTTTGCAGACCAGGCAGAGGGCATGCTGCTGTCCTGCACCCTCAGACTTTGGCTTTTGATGTGGAGTTTTACATACGGCACAGACTGGCCCTGTTTCTGCCTGTGCGTGTGTGCTGCAGTGCACACTCCTGACTTTAAAAGACACTGAGCTGGTTTGCAGCATGGCTGTCCTATTCACACCCCACTGTCAAGGTGTGGGTGATGTGGCTTCTCCCCAACTCACACCCCACTGTCAAGGTGTGGGTGATGTGGCTTCTCCCCAATTCACACCCCACTGTCAAGGTGTGGGTGATGTGGCTTCTCCCCAATTCACACCCCACTGTCAAGGTGTGGGTGATGTGGCTTCTCTCCAATTCACACCCCATTGTCTAGGTGTGGGTGATGTGGTTTCTCTCCAATTTACATCCCATTGTCTAGGTGTGGGTGATGTGGTTTGCTATGGGAGCTCCTTTGGCCAATAGCCTTTAAGACACCAGCACACTTGGGTGTGGTCTCTTATACCATAAATGCAGCTGTAGAACATGTGCTCACTCTCTTGTTTCTGGCTCTTGCTTCCTGCTGCGAGACTGTTCCTGTTTCCTGTTCCTGCAGAGGACTGTGATCTGTGAGTCTCCCCTAAATAAACAACCCCTTATTATACATAATTCTGAACTAGTGTGGGATTGTTTTGTAACTTCTGTCATCATGACTTCTTTCCCTGATTCACACCCACTGTCAAGGTGTGAGTGATGTGTCTTCTCACCACCCCCGTTGGTTCTGATTCTCCCTCTGTGATGTTGTGTTTTAGCTGTTCTGATAGGTGTGCGGCAGTGCCTCATTTGTGGGTTAGTTTGCATTTCCCTGATTTCTGTGGTATTGAATTTGCTGGCTGTTCATCCTTTTTGGCACAGTGTCTCCATGCCTTCGATGTTAGATCAGCCTTTACTAGCCTTAGACAGAGAAATTCACCTCATGGTCATTCTCTAGACAGTTTGTGTCTAAGCTGGTGGTCCATCGAGTTAGCTGTGCATGGTGTTGGCTGAGGCTGAGGTCCCTTGTGCTTTTCTTGTGGCTGTCCAGTTTCCCAGGCTGACCGACTCTGAGTCACCCTGTGGGTTTGTCACGTTGGTAGGACCCACTCTTGGGTGCTGTTTGTGGCTACCTTTCTGTCCAGCCTCGACCATCAGCGCTCTCTGTGGTGAGATCTCTGTCCGGCCATGGTCATCAGCTCTGTCTGTGGTGAGACCTCCTTGTGTTCTTGAAACACTGTTGTGTAGTCACACACAGCCCCAGCCTCTCTGCACCCTCACCCTAGCCCATGTGTATTCGGGAGTCTCACATTTGTTCTTCTGTGAGAACCCAGAGGAGTGGACCTTGAAGTACTGTGGGTGTGGGTTTTCTTGTGTTTGCTTTACATTGTTTGAAGCTCTATAGCTGGGGATTCACATTTAGGATTGCGGTGTGTGCACGCGTGTGTGCATGTTACGTATACATGTGCATATATGTAAATATATATGAACATGTGTATGCATGCCTGTATATAATGTATGCATGTAGGTATGTACATGCACATATGTATATATTTAAACATATATGTGCATTCATGTCTGTATTCATGATGCACATCTATGTATGTGTGTGAATATGCATATGTGTGTTTGTGAATATGATATATGAGTATATGTATATATTTGAACATATGTATACATTGGTACATAATATATGCATGTATATATATGCATATATGTGAAAATTTATGTGTGTACATGTCTAGTGCATGATGTGTGTATGTATATATGCACATGTGTATGTACATATGTGAATGTACATACAATATGTGCATGCACACCTCTGTTTACAATGTATATATGAACATATGTGTGTATATATGTATAGCTTATATGTATGTGTGCATGTAGTCTATGGATGTATAGGATATATTTATGTGTATGTGCATGTATCCTTATGTATGTAAGCAGTCTTTGTATATGATGTATGTATATATGTATATGTGTGTACATATATTTTTGCTGAATTGGCTTCTTTACTGTCATGCAAGGTTTCATTGGCCTCTGAAGGGTTTTAGTTTGCTCAGACGTCTCTGCTGTCAGTACAGCTGTTGTTGATTTCCATCTGCTGCTACTGTTACAGCTTTCCTCGTCTTTTACAGTCCATCTACCATTTTTTTTAAAATTTATTTATTTACTATGTATACAATATTCTCTCTGTGTGTATGCCTACAGGCCAGAAGAGGGCAGCAGACCTTATTTCAGATGGTTGTGAGCCACCATGTGGTTACTGGGAATTGAACTCAGGACCTTTGGAAGAGCAGGCAATGCTCTCAACCGCTGAGCCATCTCTCCAGCCCCCCATCTACCAGTTTTACCAAACTTTTATGTGCGTTTCTTGTACTCAGCTTATAGTTGGGTCATGCTTTGTTTTCATTCTACTCTGTCTTTTAATTGTTGTGTTTATGTCATTTACATTTAATGTAATTATTAAAATATTGCTCATGTATATGACAATTGATTTTTGTTTCCCATTTGCCTTAAATTCCTTTGTTTCCTTTTTACTACCTTGGCGTTTGCAGAACATGCGATTCCGTTTTGACCTTTCTTCCTGTGGTGTTTCTGAATTCTTCTCTTGTGCAGATTTTGTTTAGTAGTTGCTCCTAAGTTTTTATACCAACTTATCAGAGTCCATTAGCATCATCATTTTATTAGTTCAAGGATGGTCTAGAAAATGTCTCCCTTTTAAATGTTTACATTTTTATATTATTGTCTAAATATAATTTTATATTTTTTCCTTAGCCATCAAACATAATTGAAAAGATATAATAGAAGGGAAGCCTGTCCACTTTGTGTCTGCATTTGCCTGCTTTCTCTTGCTTTCCTCCCTACACTTCAAGCTTCCTTTTTCCATCGTTAGCTTTTTCTTTAGAATCATGTACCTTCACCATCCTTCAGGCTAGTTTGTTAGTGACCAGTTGGCTAGTTTTGTAGATAACAAACTTCTGGGCACTGAGAGTTTCAGAGGGTTGGGGACTTAGTGGCCACCAGTGAAGACGAGAAAGAAGGCCGAGGAATGACTTCACACTGGGGCAAACACCACAACCACGTGATTCCTTTCTACAAGCACTTCGGATATAAAACACGCATTGAAGCATATCCGTGTAATGGAGTATTATGTGAGAGGAGAAAAAATGAGCTATAGATATGTACAACAACATGGTCAAATCTCAAATGCAGGATCCCAGAGACAAGGAGTAGATACACAGAATGCGGCTGCATGGACGTAAACTTCAGAGACTGAGGACTACAGACGGGTGGCTGAGAGAAGACTGTTGTCTGGGATTACCCACGGAACAGGAGAAACGCTGGGAACTGAGGGTGTCTCAGTCACAGACACTGTCCGGATGTGTCTCACTGCAGGCTTCACAGGGGCTGGGAAGATGGCCCAACCTGAGCTAGATCCCAGAACCTGCAGTGGAGGGAGAGAACCAGCTCCTGAGCACATCTCTCTTCCTCATGTGCTGTGGCGGGTGTCTCAAAAGAAAATAAGAATTCACAGTTTATTGCTTCTCAGTTGTACTTTGGTGCAGCTGTTTAAAGGCGCCGTGTTAGCCCGTGCTCCCACAATGCAGAGGACATCATCCTGAAGTGACACCCTTTCCCATTACAGGCGATCACACTTTTAACAGAACTAATCCGGGAGAACTTCAGGAGCAGCAAGCTGAAGCAGTGCCTCCTGCCCACACTCGGGCAGCTCATCTACCTCGTTGCCACCCAGGTGAGGCTGGTCAGTGGACTCCCACAGACACCCCTCCCCTCTCTCCTTAGATACCGTCTACTTCTGGGGAATGGATCTCCTGGGATCCTGGTGTCCTCTCCTGTCCCTCCTCCCTTCTCCACCCCCTCTTTAGCTTAGGAAAGTCTCAGGGTATTTTAGAATGAGGGGACTAAGGTTGTTGCTTTCCCATGGTGAGAAAACCCCCGTTTAAATGAGACTGCTCCATACAGAGGTGTACATGACTATGGGAACTTTCCATGGCAGGATGGGGAAATGCAACTGAAGTCAGTGGTCACATGACACACGTGTGGGCTTTAGATAGTTGTGAGCCGACACATCTCACACTTCTGAGCTTTGTATGTTTGGACTGGTTTCTCGCTGTATTTTTTAAGTTTTGTTTCCCCAACTTTCCTGTCTCTAGCCTGCCTTGCCCTGCCGTGCCCGCCTTGCCCTGCTGTGCCCGCCTTGCCCTGCCATGCCTGTGTACCTGTGAACGCATTTTTTCCCATGACATCTGTATTTCTCTCTCAAGACGATCTATTCAGCCTTCCCTGGCTTCCGAGTGGCCAGCACCCTCTCCAGCCTCTTCCCCTCCTGGACTTTCCTTGTAACCCCCGTCTCTACCCTCACGTATTTGTTTCTGTCTCTGTTCTTTCTTCAGCTCTGCCTCGTTGTGGATGCATGTCCATTCAGAAGTCTCAGCTCTGGTACATGTTAGTTAGGTGTCTTGTTGACAGGTGGGGATAGAGCCCAGCACGTGTGGGACCCTGGGATCAATCCCCAGTACACAAACGAGTAAAGAAATATATATATATATATGTGTGTGTGTGTGTATGTGTGTGTGTGTGTGTGTGTGTGTGTGTGTGTGTGCAGGCCCTAGGGTGGGCAGGGAGGGCTGAGGAGGCTGCAGAATGGGGTGATGGAAGACCGCTGTGGCCCAGATAGATGCCTCACCCCAAGAGCACAGAGAACTCATAAGGTGTTATGATGGCCTCTTAGCTCCGTTCTGGTTTAAGTGAAGGGAACAGATAGAGAAGCGTTTCCAGGTTCCATGAGAATGAGCCAGGGAGGAGCAGTAGTGAGTCTCTGAGTAGAGGGAGCCTCGCTGGGGCTAAGGTTTCGAAGGTCTAGGAGTAGGGGACTAAGGAGAACCCGCTGGATGGTGACATGAAAGACTGGGAACTTGGGTCTGGGGAGATGGAGAAATGGCCAGCTGGGTGTGGTGTGAGTCGGGGTTCCCAGGGCAAGCTGGCTCACAAGGCTAGCTGGATCGGTGGGAGATGGGGTTCCCAGGGCAAGCTGGCTCACAAGGCTAGCTGGATCGGTAGACTCTGGATTCAAGTGAGAGGTGCTGCTTTAATGTAGAAGTGCAGACTCGGAAAGATGGCCGACGTCAACCTCTGGCTGTCACACCTGTCTGTTTGTGAACATAGACCCACACCACACACGACACACACCACAGCATGGTTGGTGACCACACCGTCTGTCTATGTATTCTTACCTGGAGTGGGGTGCAGAGTCAGGTGGAGTGGGCTGAGGAGACTGAGAAGCCAGCAGACGGTGGTGATCTGAGGTGATGGAGAAGGTGGCGTCTCCTGGAGCCCAGGGGCCTAGAGCACACTGTGTAACTGAGGGTGTCTGGAGAGGCAGTCAGTCAGCCTACTGAGGTGGAGACAGGGTTCAGTGGAGGGGGTACATACTGTGTCCAGGAGTGATAGAGGACCCGCTGTCTGAGACCCGTGGGCTTGGAGAAGGCAGACTGGGAATGAAGCCCTGAGCCAAAGTAGATGAAGGTGTTAGTGGGGGCTGTCCCTCAGGACATTGGGAAGATTCCAGCATGTGTGGGGTAGTAGGGGGCTGTCCCTCAGCACACTGGGAAGATTCTCAGTGTGTGGGGGAGTAGGGAGCTGTCCCTCAGCACACTGGGAAGATTCCCAGCGTGTGTGGGGAGTGGGGGGCTGTTCCTCAGGACACTGGGCATCGTGTAGAGCCGTGCTTCCCAGTGTGTGTGGCATGTGCAGAGTGGACAAGGTTATTTCTTTCTCACAGATCTCCCTGAGGAGGGGAGGCCGCACCAAGTGGCAGGAGGGTCACAGGTTAGACACAGAAATAGAGATGGTCAGAGATGCGGAAAAGCCAGAGAGAGGGATCCAGGTGCTGTAGGGTGCTGATGATGCTTTGCTCATGCACTCTGACCTATGGTGTCTCCTCCAGGAACCCCACTACTGGAGAAAGCAATAACCGGCTGCCTGTAGCCTTGGACTTCCCAGTAAGGGCAAAAGTATGGCCAGAAAGGAAGGCATTTCAGGCTTTTGACAGGAGTGGAGAATTGTAGGTCAAGTGATCCCAGTGACTGGGGATGGGGTCTGTGGAAGAAGAAGCAAGGGCAGGGAGCAGATGGACTGGGTCACCTCGGTCACCCTCCCAGAACCTTCTTTCCTCCCTCTGCTTCTCCCTGCTCCTTGTCTAAGGGCTGTGCAAGGTGAGTGGCCCGGCCTTGTCTCTTGGGGCTGCTGGAGCCTGGGTTTTTACCGTGATCACTCTGGTAGCAGCTGCGTGTGCTCCAGATAATGGGTGCTGCTCGGTGGGCTGGGGACACAGCTGGCTGCACATGGGCTGCTCAGCACGCCATGCCAGATAAGAAGCAGACGTGCTGTGTGTGCATGGCAGCAAGCGACCCCGGGGCAGGAGCCAGTGGTGATTTCTCCAGGACCTGGACAGCTTCAGATGTGTGTTGGTGAAGATGTTTGGCGCTATCTTCACTGTCTTCCCTGACCTTCATTTTTCAGGAAGAGAAGAACCAGCACCCCAGGGACTGCTGGGCTGTGCCCTTGGCTGCGCACACTGTGCTGATGAGGTGCCTGCGGGAAGGGGTAAGGAGCCTTTGTTGTTCTCCACAGACCTGGCAGCCGCAGCCGCCCTCCAGGCGAGGAGCGGAGCCTGCAGCAGCCGGGCTTGCTTGTCAGCCCAGTGTTGCTCCTGAATTTAAATAACCCGGGCAAGCTGGCATCCTTGTTTGTTTAAGTACCCTGTTTAAAAGATGATGGGAAAGCCAGGTATGGTGACGCACGCCTTTAAACCTAGCACTCGGGAAGCAGAGGAAGGTGAATCTCTGTGAGTTCCAGGACAGCCAGGGCTACACAGAGAAACCCTGTCTGGGGGCTGGGGAACATGATGGGAAATATGGATGGCGTGGCCTGACCATCTTCTACAGCAGTGGTTGTTAACCTGTGGGTGGCATATCAGGAGTCCTGCATATCATATACTTACATTATGATTTATAACAGTAGCAAAAGTCATGAAGTAGCAACGGAATAATTTTATGGTTGGGGTCACCACAACATGAGGAGCTGGATTGAGGTCACAGCATTAGGAAGGTTGAGAACCCCTGCTCTATAAGACACTGTTAATTACCCTGCCTCTGTCCAAGGTTTTTCCAGGGCAGCCCGGCAGGCAGATGTGCGCAGAGTCCTCTGTGAGCCCAGCTGCCCCATGATGAGCTTGTTGCTGTTGTCCCGAACTCCGCACAGATGGCCGCCCTGTGACCCATTGTCCTCTAGCTCCCATGTCACCGAGCAGAGTGCTTAGAAACTGGCCTAGCAGGTTGGTGGCCTCTATCGATGCCGTTTGACATGGTTCCACCCAAAGAAAAGGCTAAAGACATTAATTACTACAAAAATGTGTCCTGTGTGTGTGGAGTTCTGTTTGGACAGATAAGGGGTGGCATTCACTGTCATTAGGGGCAGATTATATGTGGCCACTGGTCTCATTGAGACTGGCCATTTGGGGTGGGGACTCCCAGAGGTGTTAGGAGTCAGGCTTTGTGTGGGCATCGCAGGTCACTAGGGTGGGCTCCATGGCCGCGAGAGAGTGGGCGTGGGCATCACAGGTCACTGGGGTGAACTCCGTGGCCATGAGAGAGTGGATGTGGGCATCACAGGGCACTAGGGAGAGCTCAGTGACCATGAGAGAATGGGCGTGGGCATTGCAGGTAACAAGGGAGAACTCCGTGACCACGAGAGAGTGGGCGTGGGCATCACAGGTGAGCTCCATGACTCCATGACTGTGAGAGAGTGGGCCCTCTGTTTCTTATTTTTGCCTTTTGATCTCTGTGTGCAAGTTTTGCAGATAAACCAACATGGAGAATACTATTTGATAGCCCTGTAGTTTTTTTTTTGAAGATTTTTAAAATATATTATGTTTTCTGCCTGCATGTACACCTACAGGCCAGAGGAGTGCATCAGATCTCATTACAGATGGTTGTGAGCCACCATGTAGTTGCTGAGAATTGAACTCAGGTCCTTTGGAAGAGCAGGCAATGCTCTTAACCGCTAAGCCATCTCTCCAGCCCCACAAGAATACTATTTGACCACTAAATTATTACTAACAATTTCAAAATATGGATGAAGTTTGTGTTTTAGTAACACACTTGCTTATTTTTCTTGATTTTATTGAACTATACATTTTTATCTGCTCCCATCCCTGCCTCTCCCCTCCCCTTCAACCCTCTCCTGTGGTCCCCATGCTCCCAATTTACTCAGGAGATCTTGTCTTTTTCTACTTCCCATGTAGATTAGATCCATGTTTGTCTCTCTTAGAATCCTCATTGTTGTCTAGGTTCTTGGGATTGTGATTTGTAGGCTGGTTTTCTTTGCTTTATGTCTAAAAGCCACTTATGAGTGAGTATGTATGATATTTGTCTTCCTGGATCTGGGTTACCTCACTCAAATTTGCTGTTTTCTAGATCGATCCTTTTGCCTGCAAATTTCAAGATGTCATTTTTTTCTTCTGTGTAGTACTCCATTGTGTAAATGTATCACATTTTTCTTACCCATTCTTTGATTGAGGGGCATTTAGGTTGTTTCCAGGTTCTGACTACGACAAACAAAGCTGCTATGAACATAGTTGAGCACATGTCCTTGTGGCACGATTGAGCATCCTTTGGACATATACCCAAAAGTGGTATTGCTGGGTGGGTCTTGAGGAAGGTTGTTTCCTAATTTTCTGAGAAATCATCATACTGATATCTAAAGGGGTTGTACCAGCTTGCATTCCTACCAGCAATGCAGAAGTGTTCCCTTTACCCCACAACCTTTCCAGCATAAGTTGTCATCAGTGTTTTTGATCTTGGCCATTCTTACAGGTGTAAGATGGAATCTCAGAGTTGTTTTTATTTGCATTTCTCTGATGGCTAAGAATGTTGAGCATTTCCTTAAGTATGTTTCAGCCATTTTAGATTCCTCTGTTGAGAGTTCTCTGTTTAGGTCTGTACACCATTTTTTTATTGGATCATTTGTTATTTTGATGACCAATTTCTTGAGTTCTTTGTATATTTTGGAGATCAGTCCTCTGTCTGATGTGGGGTTAGTGAAGATCTTTTCCCATTCTGTAGGCTGTCGTTTTGTCTTGTTGACCATGTCCTTTACTTTACAGAAGCTTTTCAGTTTCAGGAGTTCCCATTTATTAATTGTTTCTCTCAGTGTCTGTGCTACTGGGATTATATTTAGGAGGTGGTCTCCTGTGCCAATGCATTCAAGTGTACTTCCCACTTTCTCTTCTATGAGGTTCAGTGTGGCTGGCTTTAGGTTGAGGTCTTTGATTCATTTGGACTTGAGTTTTGTACATGGTGATAGATATGGATCTATTTTCATTCTTCTACACGTTACTATCCAGTTATGCCAGCACCCCTTGTTAAATATGCATAATTTTCTTCAAACTGCTTTCTGCTTTTGTTGGGCACAGTATTTGTAGGGTTCACAAAGAACTTTCAGAGGATCTTGTTCCATCAAACTATGTTAGCCTGGAAGGAGCCACAGGTTCTCATCTTCTGTGGAAACAAAAGCAGAACCTCTTTTCCAAAGTAACATATCCTTAGACTCAAATTTTGAAGTCAAGATACCATTATGCTGGTTTAGCTTAGCAGCCCCCAGAATCAAATGTCTCTCTGCAGTCAAAAAAATCCAAAGAAAACACAATAATATACATAATCTAAACTCTCTGTGTATTTTCCATCTTTACATGGCTTATTTTTTCTCTATTACTTTTTAATATTTATTTTGTTATCTTTACTCCTTTAATCTAGGACTCTCTTTCTCCCAAGCCTACATATATTTTTGAAACATACTGTGACCTGTTCAGAGGTTTATTTTTGTCTGAGTCTTATTTTTGCTTATCTGACCAGGAACACTTTTAAAATGGTAAGCAGCTTGGTTACAGTGGCCCTGGATGCTGGCTCTGCCTTTCTCAGCCTTTCAATATGGTGGAAGTGCCTTTACTGCCAGCTCTGGGACTGCCAGGTGGGAGCTGCCCTCATCACCTCAACTCTAAGAAGCAGTTGGTCCATGCTACCACCAAGTAACTTGCAGCAGGCTGCCCACAAACCCCAGTCAAGTGCTTGGCCTTCTAAAAGAGCCAGAGCTGTTCGTGCAACTAGCATGAACCAGGAAGTCTTCTCTTAAAGGAGCTGTGGTGTCCCTGCTCACTGCTAGCAAGCAGAGCCCATCCCCCCTCCCAAATGCGGCAACCAAGAAGCTGTGCTAAACTCTGCTGTTTTGTGTCTAGAATTCCTTCCCAGCTCTCCCCGGTTTTATGTGGATGTAGTTGCCCCCCATTGTTGCGCCATTTTGTAGAAGGAGACTGCTTATTTCTCGGTCACCCAGACCCGAATAACAACACAGAAACTATATTAATACAACACTGTTTGGCCAATAGCTTATGCATATTTCTAGCTAACCCTTACATCTTAAATTATCCCATTTCTAATAATCCATGAATTACTACAAGGCTTTGGCCTACCAGTAAGGTTCTGGTTGGCAGTTGGCGTCTTTTTTCTTTGTCAGCTACATGGCATCTCCCTGACTCCGCCTACTCTCTCTCTCTCTCTCTCTCTCTCTCTCTCTCTCTGAGAGATTTCTCTGTTCGGATTTCCTGCCTGGCTTTATTCTGCCCTGCCATAGGCCCAAACAGCTTTATTTATCAACCACTAAAAGCAACACAGACACAGAAAGACATCCCACATCAATATTCCAAGAATAATTCTGTGTTTGAAGAAGTTAAGGTCATAAGACTCAACTCTTGTCTTGTTTTCTTGGGTTTTCTCACAAGCACTCAGATTTCTCTACACAGCTTCATTCTTGGAATGTGTCCTGACATCTATTCAATCCTCCATCTAGATAAAACAAGTGCATTTCTCGTTAGAATGAATGCTGGGCAGAAGCTTCTCCTGTACTGCAGCACAGGCATCTAACCCAGCTCCTGGGGAAAGCGCTCCACTCCCCACAGCACACTCCTCAGCGGAGGAGCCATGCTGGGTCACAGGGCTTCAGAGCTTTCTCTCTTCTCCTGTTGAGTGAGGGCTACCTGGTTTCTGGAAATGTCCCCTCTTTATCCAAAGATTTCTTCTAAAGGAAGATTTATTTTAAATAACAAGGAAAACTTTTACTGATATCTTTATAGCTTTCTTTTCTGTATTGTCAAATGTTCAGTAAAACAAAAATCTCTAAACAAACCCAGTTATGGTTTTTCCTCATGATTTTCCCATGTTGAAGACGAGACCACATGCCTACAGGGTACAGCCGTGCTCACTGCATATGCTGCTCCACATTCATGCCACCTGCATGGATGTGTCCCTCCGTGTGAGTTCTCCTTCCTACAGTGGGCCACATCTGTAAAGTTCTTACCACTGTAGCAACAAGGTGACAGCTCTAACTGAAGGATTTCCCACATTTATTAAATTCACAATTTTCTAGAAAATATTTGTTTCCTGAAAACTGAGCCATCTGCTTATTGAGCATTTCATATTTATTACACTAATCAGTACTGATTCTAGGAGAGTTTCATGCTTCGTGAGGCCCGAGTATTCTCTGAGTAGTCTGTCACATGCTAGCTTTTGAAGGATCTCTCCTGTGTGAGTTCTCATAAACGCAACAAGGGGGAGAGCCTGCTGAAGGGTTTCCCACATTTAGCACACTGGTTTTATTTTAGACTAAGTTCTTTTGTGCTTTGCTGCGTTACTCTCCTCTGTGGCTATGATAGACCCCTGGCCAGTGAAGCCTGAGGGAGAAAGGGTTGGTTTTGCCTTGCGGTTTGAGGGCATATAGTCCACAAAGCAGGGAAGGCACGGTGGCAGGCAGTTCCACAATGATGGGAACTTGTGGCTCGGACTCCTCAATTCTTTACTTCTCAGTGCAGCAGGAAGCAGAGAACGAAGAATTCTGACTTTCTTTTCTTTCCATTTTTTCCTTTTTTAACTTTTTTTTTTTTTTAACTCAGCCTAAGGTCTCAGATCATAGTTGGTATCGCCAACTTGAGCAATATTACTTCTTTCTATAGTTATTGTCTTTGGACATGACATCACAGACTTGTTCCTGGAAGTATTTCCTCGTTGATTCTAAACCCAGTTAGTTGACAGTGAGGAATTAACAATCATATTTGCTTAGGGTCGATACCCTAGAAACTTTCATATCTGTTGTCCTTCTCCAGCAGACTTTCCTGTGTGGTCCCTAACATGGGCCTTCCAGCTGCAACGTCTTTAAGATTTTGCACTTTCAAAATTTATTTCCAGTATGAGTTCTCTGAAGTCATGTAAGGGGGGAGCTCCGGTTGAGACACCTCCCATGTCCTCTTGTATGAATGATCTGCGTGATGAATTCCGTTGGAGAGCTTTCTGAGTTTGTTACATCGGAGTGGTTTATTCCACTGTGAGTCTGCTCTTTTTTTAAGTAGGCCGGCATACTTGCTACAATGTCTCTACTTCCATCACTTTCACAGGATTTCCTCGCTGCATCGTTTTTTTTTTAATGTTCAATGGAATGGAAGCAGTCAGTGAAAGATCCTCCACAGGCTTGAACCTCCAGGGCTTTCCTGTAGCATAGTACTTGTCTGCGCTTTTAGGAGTGTCTCACCTACAAAGACCTTTCCCAGCTGTTGCATTATTTACATTTTTACGAGTACTGATTTGTGAGGTCCATCAAGGATGACTAGAATAACAAGAATAACATAGTCTCATACCCTTTGTTGCAATATTGTTTTTAAATTTTTAAAAATTATTTGTGTGTGTGTGAGAGAGAGAGAGAGAGAGAGAGAGAGAGAGAGAGAGAGAGAGAGAGAGAGCAGTGCCCAAGAAGGACAGAAGAGAAGAAGAGAGCAGAGAGCATTGTATTCCCTGGATCTGGAATTACTGGAAGTTGTGAGTTGCTCAGAATGGATGTTGGGAACAGAACTTGGTTTCTCTGAAAGATCAGTACCCTCTCTTAGCCACTAAGACATCTCTTCGGCCCTGTCCAGAGTATATGAAATATCACATTATCTTTGGATTTTTTTGCTGGAGTCATTTTTATATCTTCTACTCTTTTCTTAGTCTTTCTTCTTCCAAGTTGAATATATAGGCTGTATTGTAACAATCACTGAAGATCTTTCCACTAAATCTATTAGTTTTTAATAATTGAATTGTGTGTGTGTGTGTGTGTGTGTGTGTGTGTGTGTGTGGCCAGAGGACAGCTTTAACTATCCTTCCTCCAGCATCACACATTTTTATTTATTTATTTTGAACCTGAAACTTGCCCCGTACACTGGCCTGGCTGTAGAGTTGCTCTCAGGGACCCACCTGTCTCCACCTCCCCAGCAGTGGAATTCTAGTCCCACTGCCACTCCTGGCTCTTTACACGTGTTCTGACAATCAGGGCCTCTTACTCTCAAGACACCTGGCCCCTCTCCCCAGCCTCGAGTTTCTTCATGCAGGGCTGCATTCTGCTCTCTGCTTGGGAATATGTAAGGAGCGGTCAGAGTCAGTGAGTGACCTGTCATTGAGTGTTGAAGCTTTGCATTCATTTAAGCACTCATGCTTTTCATTGGTTCATTCATTCACTGGGTATATGTGCACACTCGTGGACACCCATGTGCTATGATGTGCATTCAGCAGTCAGAGGACAACTTGGGGGAACTGGTCTCATGTTCCACTATGTGGGTTCCAGGAATCCAACTCAGGATTGGTGGCGAACACCTTTACCTGCTGAGCTGGTCCCCTGGCCCCTTTAAGCAGGTCTGTGCTTCCTGAAAACAGTTTGGTGGGCTGATGTTCATTTTAATCTGGGTGTGATTTTGTTACCCTTGTGGGCATATCTTTGCTAGGACTGTCCCATCCTGTGTTTGAGTGGTGCTGTGCTCGGGCCGATTGTCCCAGACCCTTGCAAGCTGGGGCTGTGCTCAGAGGGCTGTTCTGATAGCTCTTTACAGTAGACCAGTTGTCTGCTTTTCACCCTGCATTGTGTTTCTTAACTTCTGGATTATTTTCCTGTTTGATTCTATTTAAACCAGGTGAAGAACTGTGCTCTGCTTCCCACCAAGTTCACGGAGGTCGTGTTCTCCAGGTTTGCTGGTGAACCTGTGGCTCTTTAAAGCAGCTTCCTAATGATCAGAACGTTATCCTGAGTTCTTCTGAGGAAACCACAAATGCAATTTTCTCACAGTGAAGAAGACCCTTTCCTTGGGGGAGTGGCATTTTTTGACTCTCTCTGCTCTTTGTTCATTCTTCAGGAAGAGCGTGTTGTCAATCACATGGCTGCCAAGATTATCGAGAATGTTTGTACAACATTTTCTACCCAGGCGCAGGGCTTCATCACCGGGGAAGTTGGGCCTGTCCTGTGGCACTTGTTCCGACACTCCACCGTGGACTCCCTGAGGATAACGGCGATATCGGTAACGTAGAGCATCCTTGGAGGTTGTTCAGGGATGCCATGTTTGAAGAGATGTGCCTGAGTGAGGTGGATTTAATGGGAACGGCAGAAATGCTGAGGAGCAGCTCACGAGGCGAGTTCTTAAAACAGGCCTGGAAGAGTTTGGGGCTTTGTGGGCGTGACATTCATTCCTGGTTAAACTCTCTGGACCTGAGCGTGGACACCCCTGACAGCCATGGGTCCCGATCACGCGCACTCACATTTTTGACTTCACGGCTCTAACGCAGTGACAAAGTGGCAGGGTTTGTGCCCGCTCTGTTGAGCAGGGTCATGTGGCGTCTGTAGGGTGAGGGTGCCCGGTACCCGCAGAGTCTGTGACGAATCTGTGCTTGTCTTCCTGCAGGCCCTGTGCAGAATCACACGCCAGTCTCCCACAGCCTTCCAGAACGTCATCGAGAAGGTGGGACTCAATGCCGTCATCGGCTCCCTGGCCTCTGCCATCTGCAAAGTGCAGCAGTACATGCTGACGCTGTTCGCGGCCATGCTGTCCTGTGGGATTCACCTGCAGCGGCTGATCCAAGAAAAGGTGTGTCTCTGCTCAGCTCCGCTGGAAACAGCAGTCTCCCCACGGCTGTCCATTCAGTGTGAAATGTCAAACCTCTAGGCTCAGGTGTCACACCAAGAAGGCCTTCTGATCTTTGCAGACCCTGCATGTCCCTCAGAACGTTCAGTCAAAGATGCAAGCGGCCGCTTTTGGTGATTAAATAGACACCTGCATTGGCTTCTACCATCTTGTTTCAGTGAGGAGAAATAGCAGAGCTCCTGGGGCGTCCTCTGTGCTGCTCTGTGCTCTGTTCACGCTGCGTCTGTGCAGCCTGGCTCATTCCCGTGTGCTCTGTTCATTGTTCACGCTGCGTCTGTGTAGCCCGGCTCATTCCCGTGTGCTCTGTTCATTGTTCACACTGCGTCTGTGCAGCCCGGCTCATTCCCGTGTGCTCTGTTCATTGTTCACACTGCGTCTGCGCAGCCCGGCTCATTCCTGTGTGCTCTGTTCACGCTGCGTCTGTGCAGCCTGGCTCATTCCCGTGTGCTCTGTTCATTGTTCATGCTGCGTCTGTGCAGCCTGGCTCATTCCTGTGTGCTCTGTTCATTGTTCACACTGCGTCTGTGCAGCCTAGCTCATTCCCGTGTGCTCTGTTCACACTGCGTCTGTGCAGTCTGGCTCATTCCCGTGTGCTCTGTTCATTGTTCACACTGCGTCTGTGCAGCCCGGCTCATTCCCGTGTGCTCTGTTCATGCTGCGTCTGTGCAGCCTGGCTCATTCCCGTGTGCTGTGTTCATTGTTCACACTGCGTCTGTGCAGCCCGGCTCATTCCCGTGTGCTCTGTTCACACTGCGTCTGTGCAGCCTAGCTCATTCCCGTGTGCTCTGTTCACACTGCGTCTGTGCAGCCCGGCTCATTCCCGTGTGCTCTGTTCATTGTTCACGCTGCGTCTGTGCAGCCTGGCTCATTCCTGTGTGCTCTGTTCACGCTGCGTCTGTGCAGCCTGGCTCATTCCCGTGTGCTGTGT